GTCGTCATAGTAATAATAATGATGATAACGTTGTGCACTGACGAGAGTGTAAGAAAAAAAAATGACATCCTTTTTTCAGGTCTTTGTTCCCGAGCTGTTCGGGCCGAACAAAACACATCCCGCGCCCATAAGACCCGAGGCTATTATAAAGCAGCTATATAGGTACCTAGGCAGTGTACATAATACTTTTCCTCTCCATATGTAACTAACACTGCTGATATATATTTTAATTAAATGTCATGGATCCACACACACACACACGCACACACATACTCACGCAGACACACGAACCCGTCTCTGTCGGCTATCCATAATTATACCTGTCAAAGATATTGTATCAACTGATAGCTAAATTAAAAATCCGTTGGTTGGTTATTTTTTTTTTTCGTTGCCTCTCTCCCTCCCATCACCCACCACCCCCGACCACTCCCCCGCCGCCCCACAGACGTCCGCGTGCATATAACGAACGTGACGTGGAGATGTATTACACACAGATATAGCTATATATAGTTGGTATAATATAATACGTACGTGTATTATTGGGTGTACCTATACCTATGTAATATGTTTAGATCCGACGCCGCCATCACCGTTGCTGCACAGCGTTCCGGGGGGAACGTGATATTTTCGCCCATGACGGTGATAAGAACCCATTCATTACGATCGTTTTCGAACCGTCATTATCCAATCCAGGAGCGGGTCCGGTTTTGAGCGCGACGGGTAAAAAAATAATAATAACCATCCGTAAGGACGTACGGCTGGCAGTACCTGCGGTATTTATGCTGCTCGCGGACCACGCGTATATAATATAATAATATGGATAGTTACACCTCTTTCCGGCGGCTCTGATTGTAACAACTCATTTTGTCGTCGGTGTTAAACGTCTGCGGCGCATAACATACACAAATCATAAGCTCCTTTGGGCTGTGTCGGCATATATTATATAGGTTTATATATATATATATTCGTTGTACGTATAACGCCATTCTGGTTTTCGGCAAACAAAAAAATTACTCAGCAGACGCGATATTATAGATATATAATAATATATATATATTGTATATATATATATACCGCGGGAGACGTGTTAAAAGTGACGTGATTAATGTTTTCCTCTCTAACGCTCACCTCGTCCCCGTGCGGTATACTTATAATAGTTTGCTACAGTGTGTGTGTGTGTGTCGTATATGAGTGCTAGCACCCTGTAATCGGGAGCGGGACCAGAGAGATATATATTATAGTGGTCTGGTTTTCATGCCAAAATCCAGGTTTTCTGCGTAATGCTCGTCGTGCCGTATACTATACATACTAAAATAACTATATAATTATATAATAAAGCCGTCAGATATTCCCAAACGTCCGGGGATTCGTGTGTTGTGTACTTGTGTATATACGACAACTATAAAGCATTAGCGTTTGGATGTACGACTTGCAGGTCTCGGCTGTGTTATAACGTCGTACGATTCCCAGAAACGAAAAATCCACCTTAGCCAAACTGTCTCGAACACGTAAGTGTTAAGTGTACATTATATTATATGATTATAAACATACCTGCGGCTAATGCACGTCGATAGAACCGAACATTCAAATTATATCGCAACTGTATGTAATATATGTACTGGGGTATTAATATATGGGTACTATTATATTGATAATAATAATAACTGCTGTTGGCAGCTATATCAAAAGTCGCATATTTTATTTAATGCAAATGAAAACGAGAATTTATTTAAATATCCAACGAAATTGAGATATAAAAACGAAAACCTAGTCGTTATTTCAAATAAAATAAACATTAAATTCGAATCCATAAGAATTACTTAAACGAGGTGTTTCTTGTGTTTCCACATAATCGATATTAATGGACAGAGGTCGAGCGCGTGTTTATGTATATATATATATAATATCATATAATATTAAACCGTTCGCGCGCTGTGCATTTTTACCATAGTAATATTATATATTTATATCCACAGCATTTCATTGCTTCCAAAGTTTTTAAACGTGTGCCACACTGCCACCTTTATTATATTACATAATCTATAAGTACTAGGTGTACATATATATATACGTATTATTATGTATACACTATATAGTTAAATCTATTATATATCGTCGGGTAATCTGTTCTCGGCTACGTGTTTCTAACGCGTCCGTCGAAGTATAATATAAAATAATAATACAAGAACAAGTTTATGGTAGTTGAATACAAATTACTCGGATGCGACTTCTGCAGGTAGTCGATATAATATAAAGGTAGACGCTTCGATCGTCGTCGACATCCGAAATGTTTTCGTTTCGGAAATTTGTACTAGAGTGGGTTTGACCAGTGTATGTTTATTTTTTCAACACGGAAATTTAATTATTTTGTTTGCGCTCGTCGTCGTGTGGGCCGAGACATAAAAAAGTCTGCGGCGCGATGTAAGCGATATAATACTGAGACGCGTACCCATAATATATAACAAGTATATTTAATAATATATACTATTGCATTTTAACGAGATGCCGATCGCTGGACTACCCGAAATACATAATATAGGATTTACTCATTGCCGTGTTTACAAATTTGCCACCATTAAGCAAATTTAATGTAGATACCTATCACAAACAAATTAATAGAATAAGTACCTTATTTTTCAATCCCCTGCAATAATGTGCCACTCAAAGTCAAGTGTGGGGGACCCCCTCTTTGACCTTTACCCCGCTGAATACACCGTATACTGAGGTTACCGTGAAAAATGTTTGCAGAAACATATAATAACATATTATTATATACCTATATTGGACTATGTCGATAGTGAATAATTGTAAGTAAGTATAGGTACAACACGTAGGTACAACGAATAAAGGTATTTAAGTTTGTATAAATTATGCATATATTATTTTTAGGTGCACATTACATCACACATTTTCAATATATTAGGTGTTAATATTATTATTATTATTATTATTATTATTATTATTATTATTATATCATATTATATTTTAGTGTGCATCACGGTGTATCAGTTTATGGGAATTACTTTCAGCGGAATACCTCCCGTTGTCCCGTCGATCGGTTGGACGTACGTATAATAATATCGTGTCGGTTGCAATCAATGTTCTGCAGTCCGAACTCTCTCCGAGGCGGCAGTATATTTAACGCATACGGTACCTACACACGCTCTCGACTGTGTATACTGTCTGTTTTATATATACGCACTACACTTTGACGTCGACTAGAAAGTCATTAGGCCGGTGATTTGTTGCCGTTTTAATGGCACGTGTCGATGGAATGCAAAATCGCTCAAGCCGCGAACGAGATCACGTATACGAACAAAAGCACCGTTGAATGAAGCCATTAGTTTAGTATATAACTCTATATATATATATATGTGTGAGTATTACGTTTAGACACATCCAACACTGCTGCAGTTAATCGCATACGTATAATATAATATATATGCATGCGTGTACACGGACACACGCAAAGAGCTTGCTAAATCGTTTTCTGTGCATTGTGTTTCGACGGTATATTATTATCGTGTACGAAAACGTACATAGTTATTGATAGTTACTATATGCACTCAAGCAATGATCCTTCGTTGTCCAAACTTCAATTTTTCTTAGTTATGTCTGGCGTGATTTAGTCTTGTTAAACGCCAGCATCTATAATGCTCATATTATATAGATATCCGATGTAGGTAAGTGCTTATTAAAGACATGTCACGTTTTCATAAGCTCAATTACTGCTATTTTAATTTTTTATGTTTTTCAGAAAATACACAATCTCTACCTGGGTAGTTATTAATTTTATAAAAGTGGGTTTGAGAAATAGGAGATTTTTCCATAACTTAAAAGATGTGAATTAAAAAAGCCATCCAATACGTTAACATTTTTAATTATTTTAAATATTCATATACATAATTATAATAATTAATACAGCGACTGATTTAGAAACAAAATGCGATGAAGAATTTGTATGCATGTTAGAAACTTGAAACCCCGATAGAATAAGTCAAGTAGTAATAACTAATAAGTAGGTGTACCGTGCACACAAAATATTAAGTTTAGCCAAAATGTTATTCAAGATTAACTGTTAAAATGTATATGTTATTGGTTTATTATGATAGAAATTTAAAGATATTAAAGCAAAGATTAAATGAAAACACAATAAAATGAAATCATCATCTTAAAAATATTAATCTATATATAAACTATAGAACTTTATTGAGAACGATGTATCCAAATTCCAAAGAAAATTTATATTACACGTCTAATTAGCCATTTTAACTGCCGTTGACTTTGGTGCGGAAATGTTATTATTATCGTCTAAAAATATCCAAATAGAGCGGTCCTCCACTTAAGATCACGTCGAGAGAGCAAACATAATGAAAACTTTGGTGATACGAGCCAATTGTCATCGTTTAATTTATCGGAATTGGATAGCAGCCAACGAGCAATTTCCTGTTGGGCGTATATCCCTTAAACGTATATTTCTGTACGGCTAGGCCCGGCTGAAAACTATTTCAGATGCGCACGGCGGCTGCGAGAGAGATGGATAAACGGAGAAGGAGAGAAATAAAAGTAGATAAATAAATAAAACATTCGTGATTTGGACTTCGTCGTTAAAGAGGAGGTGCTTGCTCAGGCTGCAGAGACGACACGAACGCGGGGCTTATAATAATGCGGGGAACGCAAAGCGAATCTTACCATATTATTTCGATTGCAATCAGACGCGTGAAAACGAAAATCATTACCGGACGACGGTGCAGTGTGCACTCGAACCATCGCCCGGCCGTGAACGAAGTATGTGTGCGTGTGTGTGGGGGGGGGGAGACATGCCTCAGTCGGTGGTCATATAATGGGGGGAGGGGGTACCTACGATACACAATTTACAAGTATATAGTATATATTATATATTATTATATATTTATATATATGGCAGACCCGGTTAAAACAAAACAAAAGAACGTTAAAATAATACAATGAGCGGCACAATAGCCGTTTAAAACACTCACCGTTGTCAGTGCCGTCTAGAGGTTGTAGGGCCCATGTGCACAGGTCGCAAGTGGTCAGGCCGTCCGGATAAGGGGGCTCCAGGAACGGTGGACGGGGAGGCGGCGGGGGAAACTTCCACAGGTCCTCCTCGGTCCACCACTGATAATCGTCTTCTTCCTACACACGCACAAAATACCAAAAAACAAAAGGTCAATTTATCATGATTTAAAAACAACGAAAAATTTAAGCGAGCGCGCGCTGCAGCAGCATAGTCCCATTGTTTGTGTTTAACACGTTGCGGTTTCGTGTTTATCGTTTCGTTTTATTTTTTTCTTCTTTTTAGCCTACGCACTTATGCTAAGTCGGCGGATCCCGCGGACGTGCACAAACAGATATATTATACATTTATGAAAGTAATACATATATACATAGGTATTAGGTGTATATACACTGCAGAACTCGGCGAGACCCCGGAGGGCACGTATAAATCGTCGAAATGACTATTTAGAAAACAAGCGACGCGTTTCTTATTAAATAATAGTATAATGCAAGCTGCGGCATTTAAATCGTAGTTGTTTCACCGGAGGTACAGCATACTATAATACTAGCGCGAGTGCAAAACGCTGCACCTCCTCCAACTCTGCTGATGCACAGTGCATGCCACACAAATTATATATATATATAATATAAAAATGTATTATGCGCGTGTAATATAAAACGTTGTTCATAATAACTAAATACTAATAAGTTGGTTTTCATGAAACGATCCGACGGAAAATTCGACGTGTGGCGCAACATACATAATATATATATCAAACCGACGTATTCAATATACTGAGATGTCCTTCAAACAACGATTCACGTGCATCATGTACCTGTAGGCTATAGGTATCTACCGCCGATTGTGTTTCGGTTCGAGGTCGTAATTATTGTCGATGTTGATGTGCGCTTCCAATGACATTATATTCGCTTAGAAAATACACGAAAATCTATAGCTATATATTATAATATATATTCCTTTTAATCCATTTGTTTCAATCAAATATAATTATACTCAACCGATTATTATAGTATGTTTCTATAATGCTGTATAGTACGTAATAATATACGTAACTAACCATTTACTCAATGCGATTGAAAAGCCAAACTCGGCATATTATATTATAAAGACTACCTCATTACGCGCAATGGCCAGGTTAGGCCAATGAAGGGTCCTTTCAAATCGTATCACATAATATATAATTACGGGTTAATACAAGTTAGGGGCAGAGAACGTTAAAATTAAAACATAATTATAATTAAAATAATACTTCGGTCCTTACGAGAAACAATGCAAGACAATATGCACGTATACCGTCTACAAACTTAATGTAAAAGCATATTATTAAAACGGAGGTATACAATCTCACTATATATTTTATGCAGCTATAGCTAAGTGTCTTGCGACGGATCTCATTAAAAACATTAGAGCAAACACCGAGACATTTTTAATCAATTTTGACGGTTTTGTTAATTTATTACTATTATATACACATAGCAGGTATATATATTATGTATATGAATTAAAACGCATTATGTTTTAAACACATATAATTATACACTGTATATATATACCAAGCTATGTATTATTTTTGCGTCTTTAATATCGCATTACTTAACAGCGCTTCCACCGAGTACATATATATATATATATAGGTAACCTATTACACAACACAATGAGCGTCGGGTTAAAATCCGACCTCATTTTAATACGATGCGGATGGATCTCGGGTGTACGCGTACACATTAATTCATTAATAGAAGCGGACGAAAAAACAAAATGGCGGTAATCGTACGGACGCGAACAAACGATTCGATAAAACATTATTATATTATAACATAATCATTATGTACGACGAGGTGCCCCCCGGCCACAAAGACCGCGGCCATTCGCACGTGTTCGCGCGAATTATCAGGTTAGGTGAGTGTACTAGCTTACATATTACACTTAGGTACTAGTACGAATTATTAATCGGGATTTAAACGCACGTGACTGCAGACGTTTGCGGAATGAATATAATAATATACGATAGTATATACGAATACATACACCGATGGATAATTTTTAAATATATTATTAGTCCTACTCGAATTTATCCGAACGAATATTAAACGACCTATAAAGCGACGCCTTTTTACATATTTGTATGACATAAAACTCTCAATATGAACGAAACAATAGCACCAATCATTGTCGGTACCTATATATATACTAATTTAGCAGTCATAACATGAGTTTGTTTTTACTATATTATGAGCGTGTAAATTTTATTTAGTTTAGTCATCGAAAAAAACAAGAACTGCACCGTAAACAATGTTCTTTTCGGCCGACATATCAGTTGCACGTTCGAACAAATTAATTTTCGTATATTAATTGAACAAACCATGTTGGTTTAAATCTTAATTTTCTAAAACACTTTTAAAATTACTTTTTTTAAGTCTATAATGAGCCATCTCTCGCAATAATTTCGTTTTTAATTCTCTTTGCCGTGTATAAACGTAGGTATAGTACCTATGGATATAATATTTAATATAAATTACTCGTATATGAAACTGCAGTATCTATGGTATACGCCGGCGTTATGATGATATTATATTGATATATACGAGGTATGATGAGGGGAGAAAAATGTACAATATCGAAATACGTATCGGATCGCTATAATGATTATGTATAAGGATTATGCGGTATTATTATTACATCGGCGGTGGGAAGAAATTATCCGGTAAAGATGGAGGATATATAGGTTCACTGCCACAACATCAACAACAACTACGACGGTAATAATAATAATAATAATAATAATAATAATAATATTATGATCGCCGCGAGTACCTATGTAGATAATAATGGCCGCGCGTTGTAATACATAGGTACGTATAAAATACATTTTCGAGACCAGTTCGTTACATATATATGTATATAGATGTATACGCACAAACGTCGTGCACGGATAATGCCTTTAATTGAGGGTAAGACACGATGAGGAGACCGTAAAAAAGAGAGCTCCGCGACCGCAGCCAGGGGAAAGGGCCAGCTGCTACAGTCGACGATGTAATATAGGATAGCAGAGCTCGTAAAGTATACATATATATATATATACCTTATGTAATATTTAACGCGCGCGTGTGTGTGTGCTCGCGAGCTCGCGGGAAACGCGACGTTGCGGTCCGTGTCACGCAAAGAAAATGCTTGTTTCGAGTATGTATTATGTAGGTAGGTACTTATATTGTATACACATATAATATAATATAATATATAAGCCGGTACCAATTCCTATAAATGCCGGTAGCGTTTTCTGAGGCGGCGGCTCTCGTAAAGACCCCGACAAATATATAATATAATATTATATTATACTGTTCGGGGTTACGCTTCCGTAAACACTTCTCGGCGGGTATCGACGTGCATCTCTCTCGTATTCACATTATTGTACGATTCGGTATTCACAGTGTATAATATATATATATTATATACTATGTAACTTGCAGTGTATGTAATATTTATACATTATTTTATTATGCATTATATTGTGCGCGGCGGAGCGCGTACCGTGGGGTATAAACACTGCGCACCAAACAAGTAATTATGCCGCCGCCGCAGCCGCAGCCGCAGTTCCTCACAATTTATATTGTGTTTGTGTAATCAACCCGATAAAAACGGATTTTCGGTGCGCGCTTCGCGGTCTGATGGTTTTTTAATGTCTTCATCGTTCCTCAATCCCTCCTCCTCCCCGTCAGTGGAGCAGGCGGACGACCGGAGGCGGCCTTTTGTTTGGAGGTATAATATATATACTTACACGCGTAAAAAAAATAAATAAAAACATAGTATATATACATACTATCTTAAGCCACCTTCACCCCCCTCCCTAACGGTCATCGTTCGGGAGGAGTGTGTGTATATATACAATGTATATATGTATATACACATACACACGCCCGCGCGCGCTATATGCTCCGGGGGGGGGGGGGGGAGAGATCATGCTCTTGCGCGGTTATATTAAACGAGAAAATTGGTGTTACAACGTTGAAAGGAACACGTAGGTATAATATAGCAATCTCAATAGACCGGCGGCGGGGCCATTCCACCACGAATTGTTGCAGCTGCACCAGAGAAGAAGAAGAATAACACAGAGTATCGGTTCGGCCCCAAACCAGTAAACCACCTCTACAATATTATATTATTATATATTTATATATATATACACGGTACGCCCGAGATACGATATATTCTTCTCGTATATACAGTCACGATTCGGCGCGCGGTAATGTCATCATTAACTCCGTCGGTCCAGTGGTTCCCCTCAATCCTCCTGGCACAGCGATATAATAATATTATATAGTCGTCTCCGTCATCGCATGATGCCATGTTACATGGCATAATAACATTTACCGACTGACATCTTGTATTTATAGTGTAATACAGGTATATTATTGCAGTTGTACAATATTATTAAAATGTGCGTACCTATCTATAATACGAACACAATAATTTGGTGACGCATTGAAGTCACAGGAACACCGTTCACACACGGACTGCACAGACGCGCACACTCTGACGTATAACGGACCAATTAACCGTCGTCCAACGTGTATAATATGTGAGCATGTATATATGTATATAAATGTTATACGCATATAATGTATACACTCGTCACGCCGCCGGAGTCATGGGATGAGAGATCCGCCAATTAAAGAAGGTTTTTTTTTTCAAACAATAATAAATTAAACGAAAGATAATAAAACGCGATTGCGCGAGCCAACGACTATATCGTATATAATATATACACAATACATAATATATGTATGTGTACATATAATACCCGAGGAGTAAAAACAACCTACGAGGCGTGTACGCGGCCGAGGAAATTTCGTGAGATATATACCTTTCGTGTTACTATTATTTCGTTCAATAAATCACTTGTAATAGAGCTCGCAATCGAAGCACATACACACGCGCGCGCTCGCGCTCGTACATAAGGCGCAATCAGTGGGCACCAAAGCACAAATATAGTGATTTATTCGACCGGTCGTACCAGTGGTAGAAAAAAATTAAATTATATATATAAAGATGAAAAAAAACAAAATACAAGCCGTGTAGGCAATATTTTCCTGTGAACATTATTATATATACGTTCACT